TAAATATTTAACCTGTCTAATGAATTATTTTTTAGTACATCCCGTGTCAATCATTAAGACTTCAGTCAGGAGTTGTAAACTCTGTATCAAGAAAACCTTTGTTCCCTTTCTTTACCAAAGATTCGTTTTATTAAGGTTTATTGGTAAACTTAAAATGAAACATGAATTGTTCTATATATTTTGTGTCTCATCTAATCAATGTGATTTAAATCTGTTTGTCATTGTCAAAATTTCATAAAACTGTTAAAGTCTAAAGTAAAATTATTTGGTTATTTATTTATAGCGTCATTATGTATTTCAAAAATACAAACGTTTTTAAGACGCTCGAAGTAAGTTCTGTGTACCTGCTTGTATAAAGCCTGTTCCATGAAAATATCTTCTGGATAAAACATAATTTTTCTGTTTCTGATCATTTTTTGATTCAGGTGGAATATGAGTATGGTATATACTTGCTTATGTAATGCGCCAGCAGGTCAGTGTTAATGCTGCATGTTCTATTAATTACCTCTAACAACTTACAAAGACTCGGGTCTGCCGGCGCATTATGCGATGACATATCTGGGTCTACGCAGCTGCGTTTGACTCTACTTAAAAGTGAATATTTGGATTGGATTACAGTCAAGTTAGATGATGAATAAATTATCATAATTCTTCAGGAAAAAAGTATTTCAAAACTGTATTTAAGATTATAATTTTTTACTCATCCAACTTAATGGAGAACCATATTCTGATGGCGCAATTTGCTCTCAAATAAATAACCACTTATGGTTAGAGCGTCCGCTCGGATGCGACAGGTCGTGGGTTCTATCCCCGGTCGAGTCATACCAAAAATTTACAAAAATGGTACTAACAGCTGCCTCGCTTGACGCTCAGCATTAAGAGATTAGTGTTAGGACTGGTCGGTCTGGTGTCAGGATAATGTGACTGGGTGGGACATCATGCTACATGCCTGAGGTATGATATAGCCAGTGATAGATATCGTAGCGAAATGACTGAAAAATTGCTAAAGCTACGTTAAAAATCATAATCACATCTCAAATAATATCGTGTCTCCAAATTTTCCTTTCACTGCATTAATTTGCATTTAATTCGAAGCTAATGAATCATTTAGCATACCATATGCTAGTCAGATAATAAAGATATGGGTCGAAATTTAATTATCTACTGGGTGTCAAGCTGATTTTGATACAAAAATATAGGAATATCGAATTTATTTCCCAAATACACAGAAAAGCATGTAAACAAAACATACGGGAGTTTTATAGGAATTGTTGCCTATTTTGTTTTTTTGTATCATTCATCATAAATGCCAAAAACCAGGACTTTTCAAAACAAATTATGATATAATGTCTGTTATCAACGGTGATAATGCTATTTTCATGCGATTTCCAAAGCAATATTTTACTTTCAATATCAGGATTTCCAAACGGGTAAATTGTTTAAAGTGGATTTCCAAGAAACACGATTTGTGCCCCCTCTCTCTCTCTCTCTCTCTCTCTCTCTCTCTCTCTCTCTCTCTCTCTCTCTCTCTCTCTCTCTCTCTCTCTCTCTCTCTCTCTCTCAACACTTAAAGCACAATATCGGCTATATGGTGTTTATTAGTTTACTACAGGTAAAGTTAAAAAAATAATATGGAAGTTATTACAATGTGTTACAAGGTTCATTGCCATTAATGTAGCGTACAAATTAATTTAATATGACAACAGAGATCTCAGTCATAAACATGTCATAGAGAGTAAGAAAATGTCAGAAAGGTTGGAAAATGCACTGAATATTCACAAAATATGAACGTTCGCGGGTACTTCATTATTATTCGTTGATAGATGTTAAATTTTTCTAAATTTTCCCTAAAATAAGACAAATCATGGTGCTCCTCAACTCATCAGCCGCTCAGCTTCAGACGTGACCTAAAACCACCCCGATATCACGATATTTTGCGCATGCACGGTACTGGTACGGCTTTAGGTGACGTTTCTCAGCTCACAGTTAACATCTTGTCCATGGAAAGTCGCACAAACCCGAGAGAAATACACCACAGTAAATAAAATGTAAATAATTTAATGTTCCTTGGGTGGCCCGGTACCATTTGATCCACGGACCAGTACCGGTCCGTGGCCCAGGAGTTGAGGACCACTGATGTACAAAATCCTTCAGAGCGCGGGCAAGGGAAGCGATTTATATTTTTCAATGCCAAGTTCCAAGATGTAAATAAACGAATAAAACAAAGTCGCAGGTCGTAGGTTGTATATGCTTGCTCTATATAATAATGACACGGTATGGCAGTCACCATCTATTTCCCTTACGGAGGAATCGTGAAGAAAAGTAGTTTTTGTCTAAGCAAATGTTTTGCTTGTCTTTGCTACGATATGTTCTCGAAATATATGCAACTGTATTCGTTCATTATATGCAACAAGCTATTCGTCTAAGCAAGGCAAGGTTCCAATATGTTACCCCTATATACACCTTGGCGGATCGAGAAGATATTTTAGTGCTTTGTCATAGCGACAGCTGAGTTGCATCACTTAGGATATAATACCAACTAAGCAATAGCGTGTCAAAGAGGTGCATTGTACATCGACTGAAAATGGTGGAGGCAATTATTTCAAAAAGATACTTTGTAAGTTTAACATCGAAGATATTACTTCATACCAGACAGAAATCATTATATGTGAGTGAAAGGTATAAACACTGACCGGAAGTGGAAGATTGCTTATTTTGAGTCCATTCAAGTTGTGTTCCACTTGACTCGATCATGCAGGAACAGTGTTCAAATTTGAACAACTTAATTTTGACTGGATGTGGTGTGATCCGAAGACTCAAAGCACATAAATATCAGTTCCATCTGCCATGGTATTGATAGTGTTAAAAAAATCGGAATCTTGGTTAGCGAACATGCAAGCTTTTTTTTTTTCGTTTTTTACTCAGTATGACATAGCGAGACTGGAAAGATACCCTTTGCTGGCAGTGATTTTACACTCTTTAGACAAAAGTTTGCACACTGGTTACACCGAGTCAGCGCTAAATGATGGATTTTCCGGCTTTAATTGGTCGAAATTATGTACACAAAAATAGAGCTAGACATCGCAGAAAAGAAATTCTAAATTGGGATTGGTCTGAAGAGCACGAAATTAAGGCCTGCACTGGATGCCTTTCTACTTTTGTTTTGTTGTGTTCAGCAAAGACCTAAATAGCCGTGTTATAAATGTAATGAATGAATACACATAAATATCTGTGAGCATATATGCAAGTAAGCAAGATGAATACTATCTGTCCCCAAATAAAAGAAAATACTAGATAACGTCAAACTAATCTGCTGTTCGATTCTGTGAATTGAAAAGGAAACAGAAAACCCAGTTTATGGGCACGGGAATAATCAAACTTGTATGTGAAAACCCAAGAATCCGACCTAACTAAAATAAATGGTACCAATGAAAATCATAATGGAATCAGTCTCGAATGACATTACGCTAAGAAGAAGTTACTTTGTTTGGCATCATAAAAGCAGCGTTCGAATGAAGACCCATTTCCCATATTACCAGGAATGAACGGTATATAAATCCAGGTGGCTTCATTTTGTGTCGTCTCTCGAGCGGACAGCCAACTGTCATATATTGCTAAATACTAATTACAGATTCTGCTCGCAGCTCCAAAATGTGACATATGAAAAAGAGCAATAAAATTTAATTTGGCTATTCCATATTATTGTATATTATACATAATTGGCAACATGGGTTAGTGGCGACTTCGTCTTACTCTTACAACATTATTTACGCTGGAAAATAAATTTTACATTGTAATATTCCAAATAATTGTTGAGTAGTCTTTTGAAAGACTTTATAAAAATTCGTCCTAAAAAGAAGTTGGAATATGCGACCATCATGACTACCGAATGTGCTAAATAAATCAACAACAAAAAATCAAAGACATTCAAATCTTAAAAATGCCTTCGCGTACATTCCAGTGAATACATAAAAAAGCCATAAATTATACACGACAATGGTTACTATATGTGCAAGACTGACTGCACAATTGTTCATTTTGATGTTAACCAGTATTTTACTCTTCATTTCAACGTAGTATACATACATACATAACCTCTATCTGCGTGAGTTCGAGTCCAGACTCGGCTAACGTGGATAAATGAGAAAGCCTGTCAGTAGCTTCTCGTGGGTCGGTGGTTCTTCCCGGGGTTTTGCAGGGTTCTTTCTCCAACATTAATACTAGCCGCCATGTATAGCGTATCTTGTGCTAAAACATGGCCTTAAACCCTACGTACGTACGTACATACATACATACATACATACATACATACATACATACATACATACATACATACATACATACATACATACATACATACATACATACATACATACATACATACATACATACATACATACATAACGAGAAATATTAATAAAGATAAATTTTCGTGGGCTGGGCGTAAACAGGCAATTTCTTTGGTTACACTATTTACCCTAGTGCTGTTGAACAAAACTTTTTTACGAGCTTGTTTTGATTTCCTCGATATTCAGTACCACGCCCCTTCCCCCTCCACTCAAAATTAAATCCTTCACAATTGTTTCTTATCAAAGAATAATTACGATGCTATTTGTGCTAGGTGTTTATCATGGAATATAATTTATTATATACACTATAAAAGCTTCAGGACGTTAAGTTTAATTATAGAATCCTCAGTTCAAAGCTCGTCAATTTCTATCGATTTAGAGAACGTTATAATTGCCAAGTTGAGTTAGACATGTACTCAAGAGCACAGGGACCTTGGAAAGGTCTTCCTACAAAATGAATTTTCTGTGAAAATCCCTATCAAGAAAGAAAAACTGCCGCACGAGGGTTGAAACTTCATAATGAATATATTGACTTGATACCGGCTATCGCTCTCTATGTAGATTTGTATATACTGGTTCATATGGTACCCAGAGACTGTATTACACTATTCACCATGGAGATCGTCCCAATGTAGAAAATGATAAATGACCGCTCCGGCGGCCTAGTGGTTTAGAATGTCCGCCTCGGATGCGGGAGGTCGTGGGTTTTAACCCCGGCCGAATCATACTAAAGACTTTAAAAATGGTACTAACAGCAGCCTCGCTTGGCGCTCAGCATTAAGAGGCTAGTGTTAGGACTGGTCGGCCTGGTGTCAGGATATTGTGTCTGCGGCATGATGCCTCACTGCTAGACATCACTATAAACTGTCACACTGCAGACATCGCAGCGATACGGCTGAAAAATTGTTAAAGCTACGTTAAAAATCTAAATCACACACACACACACACACACACACACACACACACACACACATAACGTTAAAGTAATAAACTTGTCTCATGAATTACCCATATATAACTGTTTTGATTGGATGGACCTAAATAGAACACTTTGCACAGAATGGGAATACGGAAATGGTCTAATATATTTCCTTCCTGCAAATCCCAGAGGATATTTAGTGGTTAGAGCGTCTCCCTCAAATGTGGGAGGTCGCCTGTTTGAGCGCCAGCAGTCGTACTAAAGACGTATAAAATGGTACTAACAGCTGCCTAGCTTGGCGCTCAGCGTTAAGATGTTAGTTTCAGGACTGGTCGGCCTGGTGTCAAGATAATGTGACTGGGCGGGGGTATCATGTCACATGTCTGCGGCATGATGCCCAAGTGTTAGACATCGCTATAAACTGCCACACTGCAGACATCGTAGAGATATGACTGAAATTTTTTTTTTTTAAATTTTTAAAAATCTAAATCAAAGAAGTTGGCTTGCACTGTATTTTTTGTATTATATCTCACTATGCATTCTTATTGCTTAACCTTGTGAATGAACATATTGTTTTGCCAGCTTGTCCATTCTTTGACCACAGGCTTAGTTTAAATCAAAATTTTGCCAGAAAAGAATAGCATTTCCGCGATGCCAAAAAGTTGATCACTGTGATGTTGTTGTGTGGTTCGTGGATACATACCCTCAAACCTTGAAACGCAAACCTTAGATCCAAGTTCCAAAATTTGTGCACACTCTGAGCCTTTATCATAGCCACTTCCTGAAACACAACACTTCTGGTAGAAAAAGATGACTTTAGGTTTTAGTCTTTCTTGAACTATTCATTTCAATGAAATAGTCATATTCCAAGATGACTAGAGTGTTTCGGAAGGAGTTTCTGCTACGGGATCATTACGTGTTAATGATATGTGTATAAAGAAAATATTCTTTGAATGAATTTGATGACCTTGGTCTGTGAGGAAATGCGAATATGGTCAGCATATTGGAAACCGATTAGAAACTAATCAGAGTTGTTTCCTGTGATGAAAGGAAAGCAATTAAAATTTACTAAAGGTCTAAGAGAGGTGAAAGTACACTATATTTGTAACCTTTTGAGACCTCAGTTGAATGGCGTGTTGCATATAAAAATTGTTCAAGAATAATATCAAGTACTAAAAATACAAATGTTCATAAAAATCGGATGCCCCACATCAGTTCTCAAAACAAAGCAAACGCAAGACTGAACAAATGTGTAACATGTGATTGACGCGTGGTAAAATATGGCGCTGACATTTTCATGGTGGGGCATATATACTTAATCTAATCATGAGATTTTGCTGGAAACTAAGCTATCAGATCAGTGTTAGCATTTTAGGACTACAAAGGGTCCAATCTACAATAAAAAGATGAATGCATAAGCATTTATCTCTATCAGCCATAAGAGTTCGGCAGTAAATCCAGTATTCTGCATGCATGATAAGTGGGGTGTGTGTGTGTGTCAAAAATATACACGAAAAAGAAACCAAAATATCTGCAACTGTAGACAAAAGAAGTCTAAGACCACAACCTAGAGAAGTAGATAAATTGTTATAATGGCATAAACCTGGTCATAGAAACATGCACATCAAACTTTATTTGCGTACGTTACGATAATGAGCCGATGTTAACCCATCTAAAGGCATGCACTAATCCAGGGTGTCAATATACGCAAACGGCTCAGTACCAACTCATCCGCGATTTGTCACATACAAGGGACGCCACTTTCCATTGATAGGTTTTGATGTTACGAAGCTTGTTTGTGGATGTGGAGTTCTCATGCCCGGATGAATATAGAGCAAGCATATTTATGTAATATTTGAAGTCAGTAATTAAATGTTTCACTCAAAAGCAGATATATTCAGGGTAGGTATGACTGATTGATCTATACAGTATTAACACGGCGTAGCTATGGCTGCCCAATAATATTTAATAATAATGTAATTAGGCAGCCAATATGTACAGAATACTTCGAGTATGAGTAAGTTATCTTTCGGTAAGATCTTGAATGTTCACAGCCAGGCAAGTTTTTGAAGGCTCTCAGTGTGGAAATAGAATAAGAAAAAATATGAAATTTTATTTTAAGTGGTTTAGTAAACATTTCGTCAATTCGTATGTAGAGATTACAAGATGCACACCACAAAAGCAAAGCATTAGAACGAAAGCCGGTGGTTTGTTCTTCTCATTTGTCGATACAAATTAATAGGTGAATATATAGCGGGATTATGCAGTTTTAATGACAAATTATGCTCAAAAGTCCAAATGTGGAGCCTCTTTCTAAAACATTAGCATTTTGCTAAGGTATATATAGCACAAAGATGAAAAACGAATGAGTTGGTGAAAGATGACAATATCGAAAATATTGAAAAAAAAGGAGAAACTGTTCATTAAAATATATAGGCAATTTGTATCGTGTGGAAAACAGTTACTTCCTGTATAAAGAATCGTTGCAGAAGTGTTTGGCCAACTATTTAGAATCATGATCTGCAGAAGTGTATGCGTGTCAGCAAATCATTTTGACATTTTTTATGAACGGCATTGAAAATACAGGGTTCCTGCAGACTTAACAAAAACAAATTCCATGACTTTTCCAAAACTTTTCCAGGGCTATTTCATAAAACTCGAAGACCGCGCTATCTTGCATTGTCAAGTAAATGAACATATTAAATGACATCTTTCAATCTAAAATAATAAAGTTAACAACAAATATTTTGAATATGTACATTTTAAATTTACCTGGGCTAGCACACTTTGACTTTATGTAGTAATTCATGTCATAATCCAATGTTCAATGTAATTTGTATTCAAAAGAAAAAAAAGAAAACAATCCTATGTAGTCTTTGTATGTGTTCCTATTTACAATATTAACAAAACACACTACTTTCCAGTTGCTTTCTTTTATTTAGTGAACCACACAGGAAATCATGTGATACTTCCATTAGGGGAACTTACTCTTGTTATATGAATTGAAACCATTTATCGATAGCAATTTTATCATTTTATTTAATCGGTAATCAGTGCTCTATGAAATTTGAAGTAATCAATTTTTTAAACTCCATTGTCACAAATTCCATGACTTTTCCAAAACTTTGCAAGGTTTTGACAAATTCCATAACTTTTCAAGGCCCTTGAAACTTATTTTTTAAATTTCAAAACTTTTCCAGGATTCCACGACCTGCAGGAACCCTGAAAATATGAATGTTTACTTTATATGGTAGTGTCGTATTACCAAAAAAGGTATGAACATTATGTATATGGTGTGAGTTATTGAAATAGCTCCTTGAAAAAATCCTACACACACAAAATAACAGATTTGTTGCGTACTTTCCAGGGTCGGACATTTCTTGATCAGACCCCACTTGCTAGTCCATATCAACATATTCCAATTGTTTTTGTAAATACACTTTAAGTAAAGTTTAATTTGATGCAACTCGAGTATAATGAATTTGAAATGTCATTCTACCTCAACACAATAATGAGCACGATTGTCGCGATTAATACGCTTTTGTTGTAACGTTGACGCCTCTCGATAGACAATGTATTTCCATTCTCAAATGACCGACGAAAGAAACGAGTTTTAATAAAGACCTATTCTAGCCTTACTAACAGAAAATGGTTTCAATTGTTTAAGTAATAAGAGTAAATCACAACATCCGATGGAATGAGATATGCGAGATATTGAGTTTTGAAACGTAGTTTTATATAAAAGTGCAATCCTAGGGGGTTTTTTTTGTCCTTTGTATTCAAGATGTTTCCATCCCAGTTTTCTAAGTATAGTTTCAGCAGATACTTTTTAAAAACCAAATTGCAAAAGTCACGATTTAGACCGACATTGTGTATTTTGGGGAACTTCACTTTTCTCGAGTATTGTAGTTGCCCCAACCCACATCACCATATTAGAGAATAGAGCATATTAAAGACGCATGCGTGATTCAAAGTAATTCCAGCCAAGTTCAAATCTTTAATTGTATTAATTATTGAATATGCCTTCATTTATATTTCTTTGTGCCATGAGCCAACATTTGAGGAACAGGCTCAACGATGAGTGAAAGTCAAATTTTTGGATTGTATGGCTAAACATAATTAGTTCTTGATTGTAGGGTTTATCAAAATATCTTAGAACTTTTCAGGAATTCAATTCAATAATGGTTAAACGATACAAACCAGTTATTTGTCCATCATGAGATGTTTTCCAATTCGGAGGTGACATTACGACGTTAAGCAATTAAATACGTTTAAACAACAGACTTGCAGAATCTAGCCATTTTTTGTTGAGAAGAGATAAGGCCCATATACGCTGAAAGGGGTACCCTTCTTTAAACGGACAAAGGTTTGCTTCTTGCGTACAGTTAGGTAGCGTGGCTTGTCTGACAGATTGATTAAAAATGAACGAAGTAGATACGAGTTCATCATAACAAGTTCAAGCAATATATATATATATATATATATATATATATATATATATATATATATATATATATATATATATGTATAATGTGCCTAGGCTGGTAAAAAGTAAAAGAAAAAAAAAAGAGTAAATCCATCAAACTTTGTAAAATTTAACACAGTAAACTAATTTCCCTAGAAAACAAGGTAAAAATATGAAAAAGACTTTCGGTTTGTAAATCTAATCCAAACTTAATCCTAAAATGATTAATACATGTCCTAACATTTAACAGTTCTAAGTGAATCAAAGTTCAAGTCCCGATGAAGTTCCAAGATTGAAGGCAATGACATTTTCTATATCCTGTTTAGTGTTGTCGTGTCAAC